AGAGGGCAAATAGTATATGATTACACTTGCGTAAAATGCCTAAAATAGGCAAATTCATGGAGATAGAAAGTAGATTAGAGGTTACCATGGTGAGGGTTGGGGAGTAGGGAGTTATTGTTAATATTACACAGTTTCTTTAAAAGATTCCTGGAAACAAATGAAAATGAAGAAACATCTTACCAAACCCTCTGGGATGCCATGAAATCAGTTCTAAGAGGGGAATTTATATCTCTGCGAGCTCACATCAAAACAATGGAAAGATCATAAGTTGAGAGCCTAAAAAATCACCTAAGGGAGCTAAAAAGAGAAGACTACCAAAACCCTAACTTTAGCAGAAGAATCCAAATCACCAGAAAGGGTCCAAATACTGGAAGTAGAAGACAAAAATATCATAGAAAACATCAACAAAGCAAAAAGTTGGTTCTTTGAAAGAATGAACAAGATTGATGGACCCCTAGCCAGAATGACCCAAAAAAGAGAAAAAGCCCAAATAAACACAATCAGAAATACAAAAGATAGCCGGGGTTCAATGGCTCAGCCTGTAATCCCATGCTTTGGGAGGCTGAGGTGAGTGGATTGCCTGAGCTCATGGGTTCGAGACCCGCCTGGGCAACTCGGCAAGACCTCATCTCTACAATAAATCAAAAAACTAGCCAGGCATGGTACCGCATGCCTGTAGTTCCAGCTACTCGGAAGGCTGAGGCAGAAGGATCGCCGGAGCCCAGCAGGTCGAGGCTGCGGTGACTGGGAGCAGCCACTGCACTCTAGTCTGGGCGACAGAGTTAGACTCCAACTCAAAAAAAAAAAAAATACAAAAAATCAAATCACAACTGACCCCGAAGAAATAAAAAAGATGATCAGAGATTACTATGTATGCCCATATGGACACAAATTTGATAACCTAAATGAAATAGAGAACTTTCTGACATCACAAAACCTCCCCAGGTTGAAACAAGAAGGCATTGAGACACTAAATAGGCCAATAACAACCCAGTAAATTGACTCTGTCATAAGAAAACTACCTACAAAAAAAAAAACAAAAACCCTGAACCAGATGGCTTTCCAGCAGAATTCTACAAAACATACAAGGAAGAGCTGATACTAATCCTACTGAAAGTACTCCAGGCAATTGATAAAAATGGAATTCTCCCCAAATCATTTTGTGAAACCAACATCACACTAATACCCAAACTGGGTAAAGATCCAACAAAAAAAGAGAACTACAGGCCAATATCCCTTATGAACTTAGATGCAAAAATCCTCAACACAAGATTCTAGCAAATTGGATCTAAAAATACATCTCAAAAATCATCCACCATGACCAAGTAGGCTTCATCCCCAAGATGCAGGGCTGGTTCAATATCCGCAAGACCATAAATGTTATTAAATACATCAACAGATGTCAAAACAAGAACCACATGATTATCTCATTAGATGCAGAAAAAACTTTTCATAAAATCCAGCATCCCTTCTTTATAAAAACCCTCAAACACCTAGGTATAGAAGGAACATACCTCAAAATAGTAAGTGCCATCTGTGATAAACCCACAGCTAACATATTGCTAAATGGACAGAAACTAGAAACATTTCCCCTGAAAACTAGAACAAGACAAAGCTGCCCACTCTCACCCCTCTTGTTAAACATTTTGTTGGAAGTCCTAGCTAGAACAATTAGACAAGATAAGGAAATCAGGGGTATCCAAATAGAAAAATTTGAGGAAGTCAAGTTATCCCTCTTTGCTGATAATATGATCCTATACCTCGAAAATCCAAAAAAATCTGTCAAAAACCTGCTTGCACTGATAAAGGACTTTGGCAAAGTCTTGGGGTATGAAATAAATGTGCAAAAGACAGTTGCATTTTTATACACAACAACAAGCAGGGAGAGAACCAAATAAAAAGCACAATCCCATTCATAGTAGCTACACACACAAAAAAGAAATACATTGTCATCTTCCTAACCAGAGAAGTGAAAGACCTTTACAATGAGAACTACAAAACACTGCTCAAAGAAATCCAAGAAGACACAAACAAATGGAAGCATATTCCATGCTCATAGATAGGAAGAATCATCATTGTTAAGATGTCCATTCTACTAAAGGCAAACTACAGATTCGGTGCAATACCCATTAAATTACCAACATCATTCTTCTCAGACCTGGAAATGACAATTCAGAAAAGCATATGGAAACATAAATGACCACAAATAGCCAAAACAATCCTTAGTAAGTGAAACAAAGTGGAAGGTAGCACACTTCAAGACTTCAAACTTTACTATAAGACTACAGTAATCAAAACAGCCTATGACTGGGCTCGGTAGCTCAGCCTGTAATCCTAGCGCTTTGGAAGGCTGAGTCCACGGGTTTGAGATCCGCCCGGGCAACTTGATGTGACCTCATCTCTACAATAAATCCAAAAATTAGCCGGATGTGGTAGCGCGCGCCTGTAATTCTGACTACTTGGAAGGCTGAGGCAGAAGGATTGCTGGAGCCCAGCGGGTTGAGGCTGCAGTGGCCGAGTGATGGAGTGAGACTCCAAATCAAAACAAACAAACAAACAAACAAAACAGCCTGATATTGATACAAGAACAGGCATATAGACCAATGGAACAGGATAGAGATTCCGGAAGCAAAGCCTCAGTTTCTCAGCCAACTTATCTTTGACAAAGTCTCCAACAACAACCACTGGGGAGAGGAGAACATATTCAGTAAATGGTGCTGGAAAAACTGGCTGATCACATGCAGAAGATTGAAACAGGACCCCTACCTATCACCATACACGAAAATTAACTCTAAGTGGATCAAAGACCTAAACGTAAAGCCTCAAACTATAAGAATCTTAGAAATCGCAGGAGACACCCTTATGGAAATTGGAACTGGCAACCAATTCCTGATCAAAACCCTAAGAGCCCGTACCATAAGAAATAAGATATGACAAGTGGGATATCATCAAACTGATGAGCTTCTGTAAAGCAAAAGAAACCATCAAGGGAACAGGGAGACAGCCCACAGAATGGGAAAAAATATTTGCCAACTGTATATCTGACAATGTCCTAATATCTAGGATCTACAAGGATCTGAAACATGCTGAAAGGAAAAAAACAAACAACTCCATTAAATAGTGGGCAAAAGACATGAATAGCTACTTCTCAAAAGAAGATATATGGGCAGCCAACAGATACATGAAAAAGTTCTCAGCCTCACTAATCATCAGAGAAATGCAAATCAAAACCACATTGAGATACCACCTAGCACCAGTAAGTATGGCCATCATTAATAAAACAAACAACAACAGATGCTGGCAAGGATGTGGAGAAAAAGGAATGCTTCTACACTGCTTGTGGGAATGCAAACTAGTGCAACCTCTTTGGAAGACAGTGTAGTGATTTCTGAAAGAACTAGAAGCTGACCTTCCATATGACCCAGCAACCCCCCTACTGGGAATATACCAGAACTCATCATTCTACAAAAAAGATACCTGCATACACATGCTTGTTGCAGCTCTGTTCACAATAGCAAAACATGGACCAACCATGCTGCCCATTGAAGCTGAACTGGATAAAAAACATGTAGTACATATACACAATGGAATATTCTGCAGCCATAAAGAAGGACCAGCATAGGGACTTTGCAGCAACTTGGATGGAAGAGTCTATCATACTCAGTGATCTATCACAGAAACAAAGAACAGAGTGACATATGTTCTCACTCATAAGCAGACCTTGAACAATTATCATGATATTGTAAGAAAGGGATTGGCAGTAGTAGGAAACTGCCAGGGGAAAGGGGGTGGGATTGGCAGTTGAGGGAAACTGCCATGGGAGGGAGGGTCACACTTTATCAACAAGGGTACCTGTATAATGAATATTTGTATACCTAACCCTGAATTGTACCCCACAGCTTTAAATACAAATACATACATATATATATATATATTATACAGTTTGAGGTGATGAAAAAGTCTGGGAAACAAATAGTGATGATACATTACAAATGTAATTAATATTACTGAATTGTACATTTAAAAATGGTTAACACCACAAATTTTATTATGTAAACACTTTAGCACAATAAAAATTTTTCAAAAAACCCCCAAGATTGTATGTAATATGCTGTGGTGGACCGAAGCTGGCTTGTGCGAACTCTGGAGAGCTGATTGTGAGCATTTGTTTCCGACTACTCATTCAGGGTTGCTGGGAGCTTCAAACTGGCCATGGTGAGAGTACTTATGCCATGGCAGTTGGCGAATGCCACAAAACAGCTCCCACCTTCTAGCTAGTTGTTAAATACTTACCAGCACACTACTGAATATATGTGTATAAAAATGCATAGCAAACTATCTGGATGGATAGATGTCAGATTGCTAATGGCATTACCTCTGGGGAGGGGAGTAGTGTTGTAGCAGGGATGTGAAAGTAAACTTACACGCAAAAAGTGTAACACTTGTATATATTCCGTACATTTTTTTTTACAGTGTGCATATAGATATATTTCTTGTATTGCTTTTTAAAAATAGACCAAGCTGGGCATGGTGGCTCAAGTCTGCAATCCCAGCAATTGGGGAAACTGAGTTGAGAGGATTGCCTGAGCCCATGAGTTTGAGAACTGCCTGGGCAATTTGGTGAGACCTCATCTCTACAATAAAAAATCAAAAAATTAGCCAGGTGTGGTAGCACACACCTGTAGTTCCAGCTACTTGGAAGGTTCGCCTGAGCCCACCAGGTTGACGCTGAGGTGGCCATGAGCATGCGTGCCACTGCGCTCCAGCCTGGGCTACAGAGTGAAACTCCAACTCAAAAAAAAAAAAAAAGACCAAACAACTGCATATGTTAAGATTGTAGTATGGGTAACTTCTCTTGAGAGGCTGAAAGCTGGTCAGGTGTACTGTGTGAGATACCCATGAAGAGCCTGAAGGCTAAGCCTGGGACTGAGATTCTGTTTACTCAGAAATCTGCTGTTCTTCCTGCCCAACTACATGAAGATTTTCTTATCTCTCTGTAGGTTACCCTACAGCCTACCCGGCAGCGGCCCCTGCCTACAATCCCAGCCTGTATCCTACCAATAGCCCCAGTTATGCTCCAGGTAAGGAGAAAGTGGGGGCAGCAGTGGTGAATTGGGTGGGGGGTGGGGTTTTATTTGGAAAAACAAACCTACCTGTTGGCCTTTTCCTGTCCTTAATTGCCCTGGGCCTGGTCTATCCAGGCTTGATTCTCTGGGTGGTTCCCTCTGGGAACTGGGACAGATCAGCCTTAGGGTGGGGGCAGGAGAACTTCCTCCATTCTCTTTGGGACTTAAGGTTGAACCATCTCTCCTATGCTAGAATGTCTGAGACCTACATCCTCCTCACAGAACCTTTTCTGCTCTCCCAGGCAATGTTCAAATTCATTTTTTCTCAGTTTCCCCTGAGGCTGCCATTGGGAAACACACACACGCGCACGCACACACACACACACACATACACACGCACACACATGCACATGCACACGCACACACACACGCATAGCAGACTCCTGGGGTGTGGATTTGGAAGAGAGTAAGAGACTTGCCACCAGAGGATAAAGAACTGGTTTCCAAGCTGAGATAAGCAACTTGTTTTTCAAAAATGATGAAGACCCAATGTTCCTTGGATAGAGGTTAAAATGGGTTTGAAAATGTTGAAAAGTTCTATTTCGGGCCAGGAGCATTGCAGAGATCTTACCTCTGATCTTAGTCCTCATGCTCAGTCGGTGCTTTAACACTCAGGAGCAGGAGAAAGAGTATGGGCTCTGTGGTTAGAAAGTCCTGGGTTTGAATCCTGATTACACAACTAGTTGTAAGGCCTTGGGCAAGTTACCTCACCTCTCTGAGGTTCAGATGTGACTACCTACCTCAGAGTTGTGGATGATTTTCTGTCAGCTCCTCTTCATTTCCTCTACAAGTGTGTATTTATTGAATGTTCTCCATACTGGGATAGAAAAATTAAAAGATGCCATCTTTGTCTGGTGCAGCCATTTGGGATCCTGGCATATAAACAAATTCATTGCAGTATGTTGTGATAAGTATATATATAAGAAGAGAAGAGTGAACAACAGTCTGTCTGAGGGTGAAAGTATAGGAGAGGCTTCACAGAGGGAGTAGCAATAGGGGCTTTGAGGGAGAAGTAGGAGGTGTTCCTTTCAGCACAAAGGAGGAATGTGCATTGCAGGCAGAATAGAACGTGGGCAGAGGCCTGGAGATGTGAGAGCATGACACTGTGAGGAACCTAGAAATAGGGGAATCATTGAAGTGTAGACTTCGGGAACTCAGTGAACCTAAACTACAGATGTGCAAGGGCCAGATTTGGAAAGGCCTAGAATGTCAAGAAAATGCCCCATTTTCTTGTTTAACAATTATTATTACAGAATTTTAAAATTTTGAAAGATCTCAAAGACCCACCAGTTCAGCCTCTTCTCTTGACAAAGGAGATGCAGAAAGAAGAAATGTTTTTTATTCAAAGTTACCCAGTGAACCAGAAACAGCATATAGACTAGAAGCCTTAACAGACCCCTGTCTCTCAGTCCCATGCTTTTATGTGCCAATCCAATACTTATTCTACTGTTATTTCCTTTCTTATGGGTCATAGAAGAAAATGGGTAATGTCAGAAGACCTGGATTTGAGTCCTGACTCTGCCACTTCCTAGATTAGCAAATTTAAAGCCACCCAACCTCTCTGAACTTCAATTGTCCCATCTCTAAAATAGGAATCATATCATAATCGTATTATAAACACATACACACACACACACACACCCCAGGAAGTTATCAGACAGTCCCTCTTTTTTTGGGCAAACAAGAACTATTTTACACAAATAAGTGATATTAACCCCTAAAGTGGTTACATAGATGTGTCATTCCACAGACATTTATTTTGGTCCTGTTATGCCTGAGACACTCTGGAAGACTCTGTAGGTGATTCAAACTTGAGGAAACTGCAGTCACTGCCCTCAGAGAGCTTATGAGAGAAGCAGTGACAAATGGCCTAAAAATCTATAAAGGTATCTCAGCATTGATTTTATATTTACATTTATTCCATAAGACATATGATATTTCCCAAAAAAATCGGTAATAGGAGGCAGAAACAATAAAAGCTATGGAAATTCTCTCTGATAAAATACTTAAATTTGATAAATTCTATATTAAAAATTACGATGGCTTTGATTATCATGTATATCCCAATATATAAGTGATTTAAGTATAAGTGCTATGAGATGTGTGAATTGACTTTGTATAAACTGCCTAGTCTAAAACAAAATGAGGCGAGTTGTTGCAGAAGGTCAGGTGAGATCAGGTGTGAAGAAGATTCATTGTTTTTATAGTCAGAAGGCCATCAGTGACCTCACTGGAGACAGTGTCAGTGAGGTGGTGAGGATAGAAGCCATAATGTAGTGAACCCGGGGTGAAGAAGTAGATTTAGCAAATATGGCCTCCTCTTAATAGAAACTCGGCCACCATGGAAAGAAAAACAAAAGGACATTGACTAGAAGGGAATGTGGGGTTGAAGGAGGGTTTTTTTTCCAGATGTGAGGATGGATAAATACATAGTGATGGGAAGAAGCAAATGAAGGACAAGTCAGAGATGGAGGAGAAGTGGTTGTCTCCACAGATGCTGCTGTGGGGCAGGGAAATCCAGAGCTCAGTTCTCTTCTTTGTTTGGGGGAGCTGAGTGGCAGGTGGAGGCAGGGTGCCTCACACAGGAGGGCAGCTCTTCCTCTCATACAAAAGGAAAGGTCACAGGTGGATGTGCTTAGAATAAATCTCCCAGTGGAAAGTGGAGAGTTCTTGTCTAATGACCTTGATATGCTGAGACAGAGGGGCACAGGAATAGAGGGAGGGTTCTTAACCATAGAAGGGTGTGAGGTCCTGACGGGATGGAGTGAGAGTGAAAACAAGATAACACCACAGGGTACAGTGGAGACCTCACTGAATGGTGGAGGCCATGAATTGTCCAGACTCTCCTCCCCAGCACTGGGCTGTTTTCTCAGTAAGTTCAGCACTTTTGGTGATAGATTGTGGGGTTTTCAGAATCTGTTTGGCAAGAAAGGATGGGGAATCAATAGCTACTACTTACCAAATGGTCATGTCTGTCATGAGCTATTTTAAGTTCTTTATGGATATCAGCTCACTTTATAGCATAACAAACCGTTGAACTTGATGCTGTTAATATTCCCGTTTTCCAAATGAGAAAACTAAAACTTAGAGAATTAGATAACTAGCCCAAAGATCAAGTCCTGGCATCCTGCCGCCTCGCCCAGTGCCAGCAGACTTGCAAGAGTTCTTAACTACTACAGTGTAGTGAATCTGTGTATACTTCCCTTCATTTTCAGATGTCAGAGAAATTGGGGTGTTAAATAGAGCAACCAGGTTGGAGAGGAAAGGGAGTGCAGATCGGAGGAGGCTGAAAAAACGGGGAACAAATGGAGAGATAGGAAAGCCGGCATGTGTAGAGAGAGAATTAAGTTTTAATTAAAAAAAAAATCCCACACCTAACTTGATTTCCCCCAGCTTTATGTTTTTTAAAAGTCAACATATTTTTAAGCTATCACTAAAGTCACCCATTTTCTTTTTTTTTTTTAAAGCAGGATTTATTAAGAGGACAGTAAAGCTCTCACAGTGGGAGGGAACCTGAGGGGGTTGCCCAAGTCACCCATTTTCTCAGAAAACCACAATATCCACATTAGAGGATAGTGTTCGTGCATTGTGTTAGAAAGCCACAAACTGAGAGTTGGAAGGCCTGGGTTGTGGCACTGACTCTGCTTCTGATTTTGGTGTGACCTTGGGAAGATCCCTTTCCCTTTCCCTTTTGAGTTATACTCACACACACAACTGGATCTGTTTCATATTTTGGAATGCTGGCCTCTGCACTCACAGTTCAGATTTCTGACTGCAGTAGGGAACTTCCTGTCACAGAGGAGCTGGCTCAAGGTCAGAGAGGTTCTCTCTGCTTCCTGCCAGAGCCAGCCATTTGTGATGCTGAGAGATGCCTTGGAGAAGCCGGTCTCTCAGGTTAAATTTCTTTCAGCTGCTTCAAGGAGACGAAGAAGTTGCTTCAGAGAGAGCTATTTTTAGCAGCTCTGAGTTCCCTAAGATGTCATCTGTCCAGCATGCAGGGAAACGTTTCACTCTTTCTGTTGGTTCTGAAAGCAGTGTGGGCACTTGAAGCTTTTTTCCAAGCTCTTAGTGATTTCAGGGATCTTATTTAAGAACTGTTTGACCCCCCAGGAGGCAAGAGCCAACCAAAACTTGATTTTTAGAATTTGGAGACCGAAAGGTTTGTCCTATTAATAGTAATCTGACTTAAAAATGAAGGGAAGTATATAAACAGGTTAACTAGTGTAGGTACAAAGAAAATATCTCCTCATGAGAATCTGTTTACAAACCATTTTCATCTATTGTTTCATTTGGTTTAATAGCAGTCCTATAAAGTACAAATATAGTATTTCTATCTTGTATATAACAAACCTGGGAAAGGGTAGGGAAGCAGAATTTGTGCTTTCTGAACACCTGCCTTATTCCAGGCCCTGTGCAAGGCACGTTACAAATGTTCATTTTCATCTTAGCCTTGTGTTAGAGCTTCTTGTCTCCAGTTTTGCTTAGAGAGGTTAAATAAGTTGTACAAAATAATATATCTAAAAAGTAGCAGAGCTGGGATTCAAACCCAACTTGTCTGACCCCAAAGCCTGTGCTCTTTTCTAATAGCACAACAGTGACCCAGAGGCCTCAGGAATGGGGTGCTTCTGCGTTGGTCCTAGCTCTCTGAGGTTTTACAGACAGCTTTTTAGAGGCCAAAGATGACAGTGTTGTCCTTGAACTATCACTTCTCCTAATACATAAAGTCTATGTCATGGGTGAAATCCCTCTGCAGTTCTTAGGAGAATTGAGATGTATTAATATCATGGTTAAGCCAAGAGCAGGAACTTGGGCTGGTTCACATTCAGGCAGCTTCTGGATCAGCTGCCTGGAAGATACCATGGCATTCAGGGCAGTGCCCCTTGCGATGAATGGACTTTCCAGGTGGCAAGTCTGTCACCCTCTCCAGGGTAGAGGCACTTTGCACCCTCTACATTCACTGTTTCTTGTGCAGCCTGGGGGAAACTGCTATCTCAAGACAAAGTCTGTTTATGTAACTGCAATGTATACAACTATGCACAGATTCTTAGTGGTAATTTCAACTAACATTTCTATCCAACAGAGTTTCAGTTCCTGCATTCAGCTTATGGTAGGAAAGCTATTTTTCCTCATCTGTATTACAGCCTATGAATGTGTTATCTCGTAACAATGGTAGATCCCCTCTCCTTTCCTCCCCAAATCCCATCCTCTAGGCTTGGGCTCCCCCCAGGTGGCTCAGCAGCAGTTCCTAAAGCATGCAGGAACATGTCTGATGGTGCAAAATCATGGGTTGGAGACACACATAAACCGTCCCCTAGGGCAGCAATAAAGGATCATGGCACTAAAAGGCGTCTCTCACCCTAACCTGGGCTGCCGAATTCAAACAAACAAGCAAACAAAATTTCTAGGGCCTGTATGTGGCTCCTTTGTTGGCTTTGTGGTAGCCTCTGTGAAGGAGTACCTGGTTTATGCCTGTTAGAACCCAAAAAACTAGTCTGCCCCAGGACCAGATTTTCCATCTCCATCGGCAGTCTGACATGTTTGAAGACCTGGTTGACTTTAGAACAATCTGTTCCCTTAGTCTAGAACTTGAGCTCTGAGCTCATTTTCGAGGCATTTTCCTGAATGGTGAGAGGTGGGGGGCCAACTGTGCTAACGAGCCAGGGACCAGAACTGGGTTCTCTGGGCAGTGTGGACTCCAGGCCCAAGGCACCACGGGAACTTCTGGGCACCTGTGAGGGTCCCAGCAGTATAACTTGACTAGGTCCTTGTCATAGACAGGAAGGGACCATGGGAGGGACTTGCCACTTTCACCACCCTTACCTGGGCTGCTCAGGACAATGTTTCTGTAAAATCTCTGCATACTTTCTTAACTTTTAACCTTGAAGTATTTGGATTCTGGAAATTGAATTTGTGGGTGGCACATCTTTCAGGAGATGAGCTGTGAAATTTCTTCTTGCCACCTCTGTGGGCTGTGTGATCTTGGGCAATTTACTAATGTCTTTAGGCCATAGATAAAGTGTTTTATTCTACATGATCTCTGAGGTCCCTTTAAATGTGAACAGTCTGTCCTCTCATAATTTTATTATTTCAATTTGTTAGTCACAGACCTGTTTCTCATATCATTTATAGGGAGTCATTTTTTGTTTGCCTCAGGATGCATGAACTTGAACAGGAGACTCTATAAAAAAGTAGAAGCTCTCGTGCTTCTTCACCTTTCGGATTATAGCATCCAATCCATGCATAAGCCAGGGATTGAGAGGAAAAAAAAGAGTATAGCATTTGCAATAGATATTCATAAAGGGTATGGATAGAGTTCCTCATTTGACAAAATTCTGTGCCAGGCCCTAAACTGGCCCTTTGAAGGTAGAATGACTAGGTCCTTGTTCTCAAGGAACTCACAGTTTAGTGGGGAGACAGACAAGCCATCAAGTACAGGGATTTCTGAGACAGGGATTGGAATAGTCAGCTACATGCATGAGTGAGCTGTGGTTAAGGAGTAAGGAGAAGAAAAACTTCCTAGTAGTAGCTAGTCTTCAGATCATGATTGGTGTATTGATTAATGTCAACCAGGCAGAGTTTGTGGAGAGATATGCCAGAAGAGGTAGCTCCTTGGCGTATCCTGGGAATGATAAGTTTCTGAGGCTGTAGTATGGGTTGGAGTGAGAATAGTGAGAGAGTCTAGAGAAAGTATCAGGACTAGATCATGGGAAGCACTGAATGCTACACGGGGGTTCAAATTTTAGCCTATAGGCAGGAGAGAACCGTAGAATGTTTTTTAAGAAACAGAGTTTTGTGATTAGATTTAGGTCTTAGAAAATATTACTGTAATTGGAGATTGGAGGGGGCAAGTTTTAAAACAAACAGAATGGTGAGGGAGCAATTGGAGTAGTTCAGGTAAGAGATGGTGAGAACTTGAATTAGAGCTTTCCACAACTGTGGGGATGGAAGAGTGGACAGATATCAGAATTAGAAACTATAAGACTGGGTGACACTTTATTTTGGATTCTCACAGCAATGCTATAAAGCAATCAGAGAGTGGTTATTATTGCCATTTTATGAGACAATAAAACTGCAGCTTAGAAAGGTTAAGTGACTTGCCCAAGGTCCCACAGCTATTAAGTGGCAGAGCCCAGGCTAAGAACTCAGATTTCCTGACTTAGTACATTGTGTTCAGCGTGATGGTCCCTTGCTGCCTCTCCTCCTTGTAAGTGTGCTTAACAGATTGTGTCAGAGGGCGTGAGGGCCTCATATCTGGGGAAGTGAACAACCCAGCACCTGGATGTGGGCAGCATGCTGTGACTGGGCCCCTGGCCCTTCACTGCCAAGGGTTCTTTCTCTCTCTCTCTCTCTCTCTCTCTCTCTCTCTGTCTGTCTTGTTTAATTAAGAGATAACACATACACAGTAAAGTATATAAAGAGTATATTAGTCTTAAATGTATAGCTTAATGTTTTTACATACTTATATGCCTATATTTAACTACCACCCAGTTCAAAATATAAAACATTTCCAAGAATGTTTTCAGGGCCCCATGGGCAGGCATGCCTGTCAGAGCAGCCTCCTCCATCATGTGCCTCTGAGGCTTCAGTTGGGATTGTCTTCATCCCAGGACTGAGCTCTGAATCTCTACCACCAGCAGAATGGGTTCCTTTAGAATTGTTTGTATATGGAGGAGCTAGGTCATATGGTGCAACCAACTAATGGGGAGGTCAAGTTGAGAGCTAAGATTTGTGTTTTATTTTTAGTTTTCACATTTCTCTAGTTATGTAAATTAATAAGTATTTAGATATATAGGGAAATATTGAAAAAACTTAATTTGTTTTTTTAAATAATTAAACCAAAAGAAAATAGCCTTTTATTCAGAAAAATATATAGTGTAGTTATGTGATTTGTTGGAGAAGACATAATCAAAGGCACAGTCACACTTGCTTCTTTCCTGGTTAATTTGGAACATTATTTTACTGTGGATCATGCTGTCTTGTTCACTCCCTGGTTGGCGTGTGGCTGTGTTGCATCCCCAGCTAGACCATAAGTATCTTGTGTGCGGTGACCGTGACCCACGTGTGTTCTCGTCCACCGTGGCGCTCCCCTCAGTACTGAGTGCAGTGTAGGCCTCAGTCACTCTCTGGTTAACTTTGACTTACTTATTTTAATTGTCACACAGTCCTTCAGGCTAATGTCAGACATTTGGCTCATGATGAAAATTATGGTAAAGTATATACCAGTTGGAGGAAAAAGACGAATGGAAAGAACCTCCAAATTCTCCAAATTTCTACAAACAAATTCAGGCCTCCTGCTCCCTGGTGGAGTTCCTGTAGGGTCTTAAGGGCATGGACTTGCTCTGTCTGACTTTTCAGAGCTACCTGTTTCACTTTTTAGAGAGTTGTTTTGGGTGACCATGGCTTTCCAGCCATGTGGAGTGGCAGGATCCAAATTTGGGAACATCTTCATAAGATTTTTCAACACTAATTGGATACTTTATCCCCTTCTCATTGCCCGTCCCCAAAAGAAACCTAAGATGATGGCTTAAAATTCACTTCCTTCCTCCTGTATTGTCTGCAGAGCCGTATCTTGATGTCCAGCAAAAGTCCTGGACTCTGAATGGAGTTCTGCTGGGTCTCCATTCTCTTGCCAGAATTCTCCTTTTAGGGTCACTTTCCTGCCCATGATTTCCTTCTCATTCCTCAGCATCTGCTGTATATATTGCGGGCCATTAATGCAAGTGCAGAGTCAGCCTACAATAACCACACTTCTAACCTTGGTTCGGCAAAAACAACAGAATCCCTGACCTTCTCTGGCCCTGGTGCTTCTGTGATTGCAGGAATCAGAGGCATTACCTGTTATCTGGATGGGCAGAGGGAGTTATGGAATCTCTGGAGGTATCTTTGTCCTGGTGAAATTAGAAAGTGTATAGGCATACTTCTCACACCTTGTCTTACCTTAGTCCCTTGTTAAAATGTTTCAGGTGTATCTGACTGTTGCCAGTGCAGCCTGCTAATATGCTTTACAACATTCCATCTATATCCAAAGACTGCCAAGACTTTGAGTGGAAAATATATTGCAAAAATTATTCTTTTTACTATAAGTAGAAATTTGGGTTAAGAATCTAGTATTTAAAATTATAACAAGGGAAATATCTAAACAGTTAGGCATTCCCCACTCCCCCCCCCCCCAACACTATTTCCTCTCTCCTTTCCCTCAGGATACCATGAAGGTAAGTTTTTGAGTTTCTCCCACTTGTAGAACATATAAAGTATCATTCTTCAAATTTCTCAAGCTGCACTTTGAGTCAGCCTGGGAAGTGTCTGCAGATCTCAGCCTGGGCCTCATCTCTATTTCACATCTATCCGAAATATGACATTTACTTTTTTAATGGCCCAAAGGATCAATTCTAATTCATGAGGAGATATCCCAGGTGGGGCACCCATTAACACCTCAGTAGGAGATTAGGGGTATGCAAGAAACATATCCATCTGGCTCCTGGCTGGGTATACAGGAGAAGGAGTTAACAACCAGTGCCCCACTGGATAACTAGGTTTAGTGCAGGCACAGTGGTCAGTGACTTAAGCTACCATGGTCACACCTCGGTCCCTTCAGAAGAGATGGCAGATAATTACCTCATGTAATGTAGTAATTATCTGTGAATCTCTCTTTGAATGCAACTTATTAAATATACCTCCAGATGAGGTTTCAGACAATAAAGAGTGCTCAATTGATCTGGCCCAATATATAGTCAAAGTCACCCAGGTTGCTACACATTAATGAGAAAGTGGCTAAGGAGTATACCAAAGCCACTGTTAATGACAAAGTGGCTAAGGAGTATACCAAAGCCACTGTTAGGTATAAGAGGCGGTATTCATGGGCATCTTCATGGTTTTAGTAGGGATGGAAACTCCTGACTCTCTTAGAATAACATCAGATTTCCCTGGCTTCAAATTACTTGGAAGCACACTTTGGAACTCCTCCTAACCCATTCACCCATCTCAAAAGGGCTGAACCATCCTGTGTGTCTGAACAGGCTCCTTGGGTTATATGTTTCCGTCCAGCACAAGATCCTTGCTTTGTGTCTGTGATTGGTGGTGCCCACTTCCTATTTCTGCCTAATGCCATTCTTATGTCTTCCCTTAAGCAACTCTGCTGATGAAACAGGCCTGGCCACAGAACTCGTCTTCCTGTGGCACTGAAGGCACCTTCCACCTCCCAGTGGACACCGGGACCGAGAACCGAACTTACCAAGCATCCTCTGCAGCTTTCAGTAAATACAGCCTGTCTCCTCCTTTCCTTGTTCCCCTTGGTTGGGACTGATTTGTTTCTTAGGAAGAAAGGAAAGGGAATTTTTTTAAATGGCATTCATAATATAAACATCATCCTAAGAGGTTCTCCTATCCATATAAAAAAATTGGCTCTCCTCACTCAGATCTTCTTTGCATCATGCACCCAGCTTCAGGACACACAGCACTGAGGGAGGGAAAAGGAAGTACTCACCTGACTAACAAGTTTGATTAGGGAAAGACTGTTACTACATTTTAGGAGGAAAGGACAGAGGGCACACTTTGAAGGCCTGTGGGTCTTTGGACAGAGCACAAGGTTTTATAACCTAGCACTATTGATATCTGGGCCTGGGTAATTCTTTGTTGTGGGGGATTGTCGTGTACATTTTAGGATGTTTAGCAGCCTCTACCCACTAGATAGATGCCAGTAGCAAAACCAAAAATGTCTGTAAACATTGCTAAATATCTCCTGGGGGCGAAATTGCCCCTGTATGAGAAACACTGCCCTAGTTGAAACCACATGGGAGCAAGGTATGTACAAGGAGTCCTCCAGGGGGCCAGAAATCAGTTGGCCAGCCAGACTGGCCATACTTATTTTGATTTGTATCACAAAATGGTTCTACTGGGGAAATGAGGATCAATTAGAAATCACTGAGTGGCATTTTTCCTCCATATAAGAAAGAACTTTGTGTCTTGTCAGAGTTCTCCAGTAGAGGAATGACTAGCTTTAGATTTGGTGAGTGCTTATCTCTTAAGTTTTGCCAGCAGATGCCGGACAAGCCCTCAGAGGGATGTTCCAAACAAAGCCTGATAGTCAGTGGTTCCGTTAATTATTAATATACTAGCTGGGCTCGGTGGCTCAGCCTGTAATCCCGTGCCTTGGGAGGCTGAGGTGAGTGGATTGCCTAAGCCCGCAGGTTCGAGACCCTCCTGGGCAACTTGGCGAGACCTCATCTCTACAATAAATCAAAAAAATTAACCGGGCGTGGTAGCGCGCGCCTGTAGTTCCAGGTGCTTGGAAGGCTGAGGCGGAAGGATCGCCGGAGCCCAGCAGGTCGAGGCTGTGGTGGCCGGGAGCGTGTCACTGCACTCCAGTCTGGGTGACAGAGTGAGACTCCAACTGAAAAAAAAAAAAAAAATTATTAATATACTATGTAGATTAGAGGAATTCATTGTATTTCTTTTCTTTAAAATATCCAGTGTCAACCAGGAAAGGTGACTCACGCCTCTAATCCCAGCACTTTGGGAGGTGGAGGCAAGAGGATTGCCTGAGCCTATGGGTTCAAGACCAACCCATGCAACTTGGCGAGACCTTGTCTCTACAATAAATCAAAAAATTAGCTGGGCTTGGTGGTGCGCCTGTAGTTCCAGCTACTTGGAAGGCTGAGACAGAAGGATCACCTGAGCCCAGCAGGTCAAGGCTACGGTGGCAGTGAATATGCCACTGCACTCCAGCCTGGGTGACAGAGTGAGACTCCAACTCAAAAAAATAAAATAAAACGTCCAATGTCATTGTCTCAGCTTTTATTGCTCCTAGATGTCAACTCAGCTTATGTTTATTCAACATAACTCACCTTTTGGAGAATATGGTTTCATAATCACCCTTTTATTTAATCTACACTACTCTCCTATTAAGTTATTTGGGTGGATTTTTATTCCAGTTTGAAAGATGAGATTCGGAAAGTTAATAGGCCCAATGCCACTCAACTAATAAGCAGCCCAACTGGAAAAATATATCACCCATTAAAATTCTGTTGCTCAGCCAGGCTCGGTGGCTCAGCCTGTAATCCCGCACCTTTGGGAGGCTGAGGTGAGTGGATCGCCTGAGCCCGTGGGTTCGAGACCCGCCTGGGCAACTTGGCGAGACCTCATCTCCACAATAAATCAAAAATTAGCTGGGCGTGGTAGCGCACGCCTGTAGTTCCAGCTACTTGGAAGGCTGAGGTGGAAGGATCGCCAGAGCCAGCAGGTCGAGGCTGCGGTGGCCGGGAGCGGCCACTGCACTCCAGTCTGGGCGACAGAGTGGGACTCCATCTCAAAAAAAAAAAAATTCTGTTGCTCATTTTTTTTCCTGAGTCTGATTTTACTCTTTAAGATAGAGATGTTGGGCTGGGCGCAGTGGCTAATGCCTATGATCCCAGTGTTTTGGGACGCCAAGGTGAGAGGATTGCCTGAGCCCATGGGTTTGAGACCAGCCTGGGCAACTTAGCGAGACCTCATCTCTACAATAAATCAAAAAATTAGCCAGCATGGTGGCATGTGCCTGGAGTTCCAGCTACTCAGAAGGCTGAGGCAGAAGGATCGCCTGAGCCCAGTAGTTCGAGGTTGCAGTGACCACGAGCTTGCCACTGAACTCCAGCCTGGACGACATAGTGAGACTTCAACTCAAAAAAATAAAGATAGAGATGTCGGGTGTAAGGAGTTTTTCCAGATACCTCAGGTAGAACTGAATGAACATATGTAAGATTATATATATAAATGGGCATATACATATTCTCTTTTACATCCACACATGCAATTATAAATGCATATAGGCACACCTACCGTAGTGTAGCAGAAAGACCCGGAGCAGAAGCCCAAAGAGTTGGATTCTAGACTTGATTCTGTGTAACCTTGAATAATCCACATCCATGCTTTGGACCTCAGTTTCCCCAACTATAAAATGAAGGAACTGGACTAGGTCATCTCCAGGATTCTCTCTAGAATCTTGATTCTTTCACCTTGGTGACATGTACTTAGTGTCTTCCACCCCGAGACCTCCTCTCGAGCTGCCCTTACTAGTAGCTGGCCAACAAGCCTTTGCTCACATCTCCAGTGATGGGGTATTAATTCCCTTCAGAGGCAACCCCTTCCACAGTAGAAAGTCTGAGTGAGTATCAGAAGGCCTTGCCTTCTACTATGTTGAAATCTTCCTGAAGTCTCATTAAGTGTCCAGTAGCCACATCTCACTGTTCCCCTCACAGACAGGCTATTACAATCCCTGAAAGGGACAAAATATACCCCTCTCTTTTGAGCAAATAATGTAGAAACCTGTACAATATTTAATACAGTTGGAATTGACTAACCTGCCCAGACTCACAAAGGTTCCTCCCAGCATTCAGATTTTGTGGCTTCTAGTGCCACAGAAAATTCAGGGCACTTTGACAAATTCATTTCAATTTCACCAACACTTGCTAAGCTTGTTTGTAATTAGGTCTCCCTCCTACGTATTCATCATTCTCTTATTCAGCTACCAACAAGGAGACTTAGGGGTCAAGGCAAGATTCAGACATAGAGCTTTGTTTTGTCCAGACATATAAATCTGATGATCAATAAACCGATTAGTCTAAAAGGCATCCGTGATGTGAGGATCAATGCCTTTGAAGGTGGTAGGGGCTCTACAACTGAAAAAGATTTATGACAGTGAAGAGGGATTGAAGAGAGGGCTAAAAAGGTTTTATCTTGCTAATGTACATACTCTCTTTTTTATCCTGTTTGATGGAGCCTAAAATTATGGTTAGGAACCTGAGAGAAAGAATAGGACATCATAAACAAAGCCTGTTTTATAAGGCAGAGCTGAAATTTCTAGTGATCGAATTCCTTTTTCTCTATTCTTTTGTCTTTAGTGAAATGAGGACACAAAGGGCCAGTATAACAAATGCCCAATTTGGGGCTGCAGAGGCCTTTAAATCAGCAAGAGCTCTGCCCAGGGCATGGCATGGGGGGGGCCTAAACTTGGGCCCAGCTCTGTACTGATGTGCTGTGCAGTTTGGGGAAAGCCTGCCCTTCTGGGATCCAGGTTCTTCCTCCAGAAGGGAAAAGGTTGAATGCAAGTCTCTGATGTCCTTAAGGCATAACATTCTGAAGTTCTAATTCTTTGACCTGCAGATTTAGAATTCCTTTCAGGATAGCCAGGCCTCCAGTGAGTGAATTAAGTCTAAGTTCATTTGGGCAGAATCTATGAGTTTTTTTATGCAACACACCCAACAGCTTCTTTTATTTAGATGCACAAAGTAATAAACCCTGATGTTTGTGTTACCCAGATATCCCAGGCTATGGCTCCAGGGGAGTTTTTAGTGTTCCTCAGGAGTATTGACAGGACCACCAGTCAGTTGTGGAAAGTTCTTGGCAATGATTTCCTCATAAAAGTCTTACTGAAATACCCAGACTTAAAATGTGAGTTCTTGAAAGATCCTCTGATATTATCTAGTCCAAACGAGGATATTCCCTGGGAGAGGAATTGATCTGACTCATTCACTGACTGAGCCCAGGATGAGGGCCCTCGGGCAGTTGCTGCAGCCTCCTGTGAGATCCTCCTGACACAAAAGGTCACCTTGAGAATCGCTCTGGTTAGAGGACCAGTACCTAGTCCTGAACTTGTAAGCAGTAGCTCTCTCTTTTAGCAGCTACTTAGTATCTCATTGTGACCTGTGTCTGTTAGTCTCAGTGATCCCTAGAGTCTCTTCTAGCTCTGCACTTCTGCTTCTCCTATCTCAAAACTGTCTGGACATGCAAGCAAAGCCTTCTTCTGCAGTATCATCTCTTTGACTGCCAAGGGTGTTCTGGCTACTGATTTGTATTCTAAGTATATGTGTGTCTCATTTCAAAATAACATGAAGAAAGGGAAATATTCTCAGGCAAGGTTATTCTTGGATGGAGAAACCAAATTCTACTGCAGTTTCTTGGAGCCTTTTGATTTTCCTCAGAGAGATAGTCTCAACACTTTGTAATATGGTTGTCCTTGTGGCATAGAGCGGGTAGTACAGCTTCCCCAGGGACTATAAAAATTTCAGAGCACATTCTCCAGGAGCATAAAGGAATGTCGTCAGCATCGTTTGCTTGTCAACTTTAAAGAAGCATAAAATCATGGCATTTTAAGCCATAAAATTTTAGGATATTAGAATCCTGAAATCTGTGTTCCAAGTTGAAACAGACCATATTATTCATAGTTTAACTTCCCATCGCCTATCTTTCAGACTAGTCTCTGCTTGCGTAACCCCAGGACAGAAAACGTACTAATAGCTAATTTTTACAAAGTACTTATAATATGTCAGGTCCCGTCCTAAGTACTTTGTACTTATTAATTAATGTAGTTATCACAGGAACTCTTCACAGTAGATAGTTACTATCCCTATATTACAGATAAGGAGACTGATATAGTCTTCAGCTATTAAGTAGCAGAGCTAGGGTTTGGACCCAGGCAGTCTGCTCATAACCACTACTCTATGCTGCAGTTTTTAGAAACAGGCATCTTCTGATTCAGGGGTATTCTGCTCTCCTGAAAAAAAAATAGATGCTCGGTATTCTTGCAGGACTTTCCATACCTTGTTTTATTCCTTTAAGTCCAGGGTCAGCAAACTTTCCTGTAAAAGGCCAGATAATAAATATTTTAGGCTTTTCAGGACATGTGGTTTCTGTCATAACTACTATTGTAGCAGGAAAGTAGCTATAGTCAATATGTAAATGAGTGGGCATGGCTGTGCTACAATAAAACTTTATTTACCATATCAAACTGCACTTACTAAAAACCATGACTGAAATTTGCCCATTTTAAATGTTAATAATATGAAAAAAGGTGAATTTGAGAGATATAGTCTCTTACATATCCTTGTCTTAGAGGTTCACAATTTACCCTACCACTTTAAACACTTCTCACGGTTGTGGCATTTAAAAAAATCAAAACTATCTCTGTTTTACATTGCTACATCACAAACTTAAGGATCTGTAGAACTCTTTCTTTCCTTTTCTTTGGCAAACCAACTGTTAAGATCCCTTGGAGCCGGGCTCGGTGGCTCAGCCTGTAATCCCCTACTTTGGGAGGCTGAGGTGAGTGGATTGCCTGAGCCCACGGGTTGGAGACCCGCCTGGGCAACTTGGCGACACCTCATCTCTACAATAAATCAAAAAATTAGCCGGCCGTGTTAGTGCACGCCTGTAGTCCCAGCTACTTGGAAGGCTGAGGCGGAAGGATCACCGGAGCCCAGCAGATCGAGGCTGCGGTGACCGGGAATGGCCACTGCACTCCAGTCTGGGTGACAGAGTGAGACTCCAACTCAAAAAAATTTTTAAAATAAAAATAAAAAAAGATCCCTTGGAATCGACAGTCTATTGTGCACACTCGGGATGTATCTGTCTTTGGTTTTTCTATAATCTCCCTTTGTCCTATAGATAGCAAACTGTCTCCAAAGTGAAGTACCCATCAGATGGCTCCATCTAGATATCTGCAGAGCTAGATTCCTGTCTTCCCACGCGATATCTGCTTCTCTTCCTATGACATCTCATGGTTAGCGCCATAATCTAGACACTTCAAGGGATCTGCTCTAGACTTCTCCCTCAACTGACTGACACTCCCACTTCCAGTTAGTTTCTGCTTCTTATTAATGCTACCTTCTCTTTAAGGTGTCCTTTCCACTCCATCCTCGGTGCCACTTATTTCCCCAAGCACAAAACCAGTTTTTCATAGAATAGGCTATGGATCTGCAGGTGGAAAAATAAATTACAAGATTCCACTAGAGAGGACAAGACACCTTTTATGGAACTGAACAGCAGCTCTCATGTCCTCCTGAGTCATCCATGGCAAGCAGGTGCCAAGCTAAAGCCGTGATGTGGACTGAGAGATTTGTGACCATGTGGTAGCTTGATTTTACTTGGGGTTGGGGTAGAAGAGACCCAGGATCTTTGGAATCATAGAATTTGAGCTTAGGAAGAGACCTTTCTTCCTAGCCTCCTGAATTTACAAAATAAGAAACTAAGGCTCAGAGATGTAGCAGTTGTCACCACAAATTAGGGAGAAACCCGGGACTGAAGCCTAGACCTCTTCCAATAATGTCCTGTCTCCATCCTGCCCCTCACTCCCTTCTTGAAGAAACAGCACCTTGAAGCCAAAAGAGTCCTGGGTGAGCATCTTGCAGGTGAAAGGGCCGAAGCCCAGAGAGGTTCACTGGTCAGCCAGACCCACCCAGGACGGGACCACAGGACAAAAGCTGACTCAGTACCACCCCACCTGGGCTTCAAAGCCTAGGGCCCCTAGCACTGTCCCCTCAACTTAGAAGAGTTTATTGTCTTTAGGAGAAGTTTCTGAAATGACTTACCTCTTCTGAGCCCCAGGATCCCCTTATGTAAAGTGAGAGTGTTGTGACAATCACTTGGGTTCCACAGAATTATTTCATTTTGTGATTCTGTAAGGAGTCAGTCTTGTTCCTGAGTGACTCGTGTTTCAAGTTTTTTCTGTGTACAGACTGTCTTTTCCAGGGGATTTCAAAGGCAGCACAATTTGTGTACATGGCCAATTGTGAGCTTCCTGGGCCTGACTTCTCAGCCCCAGCCCCAGCTTTTGTCCCTCTTGCTGTTGCACAGACATGGCCTGAGTTCTAGGCTGATGTAAATCTTTGTGATCCATGACTTCAGGCCTTTCAGGCTGCAGTGGTCCTCCTCCAGACCCGGGAGGGGAAGAAAAGCCAGCTCTGTGGAGCAGAGTTTTTCTGTAGCCCAGAAGATGAGGATCTCTGAATGGTGTTTTGTCTGGGATTTCACCTTCAATCTTGGTGGGGAAGAAGGGGTACATGGTGGAGGGAAGTCCAAAAAGGGAGAGATATAAAGAGAAGAAGAAATAGAGTGAGAGTAAGCGGGAAAACCAGACCCAGAAAGACAGAAACAGCAGCAGAAGATACACTGGGATGCTGAGTGAGGAGAGGAAAACAAGAAGATAGATAGTAGCAATAAAGGGTGGGTAGGTTGAGGGACCCCCATCTGTGTGCAACTGCCTGCTTCACACAGACAGCTCAGAATCCCAGGCTGTTAGAGCCAAAAGGGTCCCCGTAAGAGACCATCTGGTTCCAGCCTCTTATTTTTCAGATGAGAGCCCTGAGACGCAGAGAAATAAAAGATGCCCAGAATCATACATGCAGCCCTGTGCACCAGGACTGAGGGAGCTGCTTCTAGGGCTAGGGCTCTCTGGGTGGAGCCCTGTTCTCTGTTTGTTCTCATCTGTGTTTCCAGCCTGGATTCAACCCATCCTTGTCTGGGGAGTCGTGACTGGAACCTGCTGCCTTCTAGCAATGCTGTTCTGTCAACTAACTGGAGGTCTCTTTTATTGCCTTGGTACAGGATATACTGCCGGGACACCATACAAGGTCCCACCAACCCAGAGTAATACTGCTCCACCCCCTTACTCCCCATCACCCAATCCCTATCAGACGGCCATGTATCCAATCAGAAGTGCCTACCCCCAGCAGAATCTGTATGCCCAGGTAAGTACATGTAGAAACCTAAGCCCACTTCTTCTGCAAATAGAGGAGCCTCTGGCCTGGGCATGGCGTGATACAGTGGATTGGGTAGGGTGAGGAAAAGAGGAAAGGAGAGTTCATGGCCCCAGCCAGCTATCACTGTTGTGTCATTGAAGCAATATCCCTGCAGTCTGTTCCCTTTCTCATTACATCTCAGCCCCCAGAGGGGTGAGGTATGGTTATTTTGATTAACAGAGTTCAGAATGTCATGGCGGGCAAAGGCCCTTAGAGATCATCTAGCTCAACTCCTTTTTAACAAGTGGGGAAGCTGAGATCCAGAGAGGGGAATGACTTGTTCAAGGTCACGGTGAGCTACTGGTTGAGTCAGGATGAGACCTCAGTATGTCATGGTCTACTCTTCCTTGATAAAGTCTGTGAGCTGAGTGTAGAGGAGGAAAATGCCTGGGCTCTGCCACTAGTGTCCTGTATGACCTTGGACAAGCTGTTCTCTGTCTCAGTGCCTCACTGCCCCCTCTGGGCTCCTTCAGCTGGAGAATGTGTGTCCTCAGAGGATTGGTGCGAGCCAGGTCCTGTATCAAGCTCCAGCACGCCCGGGCACATTCCTTTGGAGTGACAGTTCTAAGTGAGGTGTAAGTGGTGAGAAGAATACTCTTGGTTCAAAAAACAGCTATGTTGTAGACTAGAAGGTAAAACTTTATAAATAAAACTAGAGCCTTGAGGTTAGTTTTTCTCATTCATGGCAGGCTGTTTTAGACTTTGCTCTCAGACCTCTAGGATTGCAAATCCACATTCTGAAACTCTAGTCATTCTTTTTTTTTCCTTGTAAATGTGGAACGCTTGACTGATTTGCATGTCATCCTTGCTTGGGGTCCATGCTAATTTTCTCTGTATCGGTCCAATTTTAGTATATGTGCTACACATTCTTAAGTAGAAACATTTGAGGATTATTTCAGGGTCTTCTGTCTCTTCCCCATAAAAGTCAGCCAGCCTGTGAACTGTGACAGCTGGAAGCAGCCAAGCGATTAAGGCGGTGAGAAGTCACCTCAGACTTCTGTCTCCATCTCCTTTTTGCCTAAAGGGAAACAGATATCTTGAAGGTTGGGCGTGGTAGCTCAAGCCTGTAATCCCAGCACTTTGGGAGGCTGAGGCGAGAGGATTGATTGCCACAGGTTCAAGACCAGCCTGGGCAACTTGGCAAGACCTCATCTCTACAATAAATCAAAAAATTACCTGGGCATGGTGGCATGCGCCTGTTCCAGCTACTTGAAAAGCTGAAGCAAAAGGAACACCTGAACCCAGCAGGTCAAGGCTGCAGTGGCCGTGAGCATGCCACTGCACTCCAACCTCCTGGGCAACAGAGTGAGACGACAACTCAAAAAAAAAAAAAAAAAAGATGTGTTGGAAAATGCTATCCATTTATGAGATTTTTTTTCAATAAGTAAAATGCCAGCATTTACACCAGTATGATAATACTGCTTCTAATTCTCCAGTGTATGTGCTCGAGCTTACCCACCCTCCTCACACACTTAGTCACTGATCGATTGCAGTCCCTGCCTTTAAAGTTTAGGCAGCTTATAAAGGTATATTGTAGTGAGATACAAACATTTTAAAATGCTAAAACCAGGTTTAAAGGAGGAGAGCTCTTAGCCCATTAGATAATCATAGCAGCCCTAAGAGCTCGGCAGGACAGGGTAGAGTCTTATTTTACAGACCAAGCTGAGCCTGGCACTGAACTGACCACAGTCACGTGGTGAGACAGAAGCCAAGCCCTGGCTGAGGCCCAGACTGCTTGTCCCTGGGCCAGTAATGCTCTCACTCCATCCCTCTCCTCTCCACACCCTGCTCACCTGTCCACATGCCTATGTGACCTCAGCCTCTTTCCCCCAGGGAGCCTACTACACACAGCCGGTGTATGCTGCCCAGCCCCATGTCATCCACCACACCACGGTTGTCCAGCCCAACAGCATTCCTTCCGCCATCTACCCAGCACCTGTTGCTGCCCCTAGGACCAACGGCGTGGCCATGGGCATGGTGGCCGGTACCACCATGGCAATGTCAGCAGGTGAGAGCAATGTCTGCATCAGTATTCATCCCTCTCTAGAAACTCATCACAGAGTGGAGAATACAATCATGTAATCGACTGCAGCAGAGCACAAGAAATCCTTGTCGGCCTGAGGGATGAGGTAGATTTCACCAAGAAGGACATATTGAGCTAGGCCTTGAAGGGTGAACAGAGGCTAACCAGAGAGGTGAAAGAGGGAAATGCAGTGCAGGCAGAAAGGAGTGTGGGATGTTCACAGAATAGAAAGGGTTCAAGACCCTTAGGAAATGGGGTATGGAGTTGGACAGGTGGCCAGAGCGCTGGCAAGGATAAGATGGTGACAAGTCTTGAATACCTTTTGATACGGAGCTCACAAAGGGGGCTAAGCAGGGGAGGGATGCAGTTGGGTTTGAACATTCTTTAACTGCAGGGTGGAGGCAGGATTAGAAGGAGAGCTAGAAGCAAGTAGGTCAGTGAGGAGGCTGTCAATGTAGTTTATGGGAGAGATGATGACGCAAGGACTCCGGGAGCAGCAGGGGGCTCAGAAGAGAGGGCACAGGGGCAATGTCATTTAGCACACAGGAGCTTAAGGGCCTGCCCAGTAATTACTCATGAGGGATGAAGGATGCAGAAGTCCTTAAGGACCCCTTCCCCATTTCTGGCTTATGCCAGGAATCAGACCAGAGCTCTGCCGTTAAGGAATCTCGAGGATAGGGGAGGGGGGAGCAGATCTGGGGGAGAGACGGTTCTAAGGAAGTCATCAGATGAGTTGACAGCTGGGGGGAAATATGGGCATTCCAATGAAGAGCATGCGAAGACAAGAGAGCTCTGAACAGCCTCCAGAGACCTAGTTTTAGAGGAACCAGCGAGGGAAGAAAGCACAAGGAGAATGGGCATTTGGGTTTTATTCTGCCCTAACTTCAAGGCATGGTTGAGGCCTTGCTCCCTAGATCAAGTCAGCAAGCTGTGGGACATCTCAGTGCCAGCCTGTTGTTCAGGTTCTGGGGACCACATCTTGATAGACCAGAGAGCCCTGCCCTTGAGAGCACCCAGGTTAGTGTGGGAAATGCAACCACAGACACCAAGTTACTGCTTGGTATGAGGTGTGTCCAGTAAGAGAAGCATACAAAGAGAAGGAAAAGGCAGGCTTTGAAGGATAGTGATTGATTCTGTCCTCCAGCATCAGAAAAGATTCCCTGGGGAGGTGAAGCCTGGCATGGTGGAGAAGGGTGGACAGCGGTTCACCAGGTGGGCAAGGGTGATGGGGGCTAGGGCAGAGGGAGCAGCCATGCATAGCGCCTCGGTTTCATCTTCGCCCCTGTGCCCTTGTCAGGCTAATTCCTCTCTCTCTGGATGCTCAGGTACCCTGCTGACTACACCCCAGCACACCGCAATTGGGGCACACCCTGTCTCCATGCCAACATACAGGGCCCAAGGAACCCCTGCGTACAGCTACGTGCCCCCGCACTGGTAAAGCCTGCAACCCATCCAAGTGAGTGGGGCCAGGATGGGAGAAGAGGGAGGGCGTACACACAGAGCTGCCTCAAAGCCCCAGCTTGAATCTGGAGCACAGGTGTCAGCAGAGGCAGGTGCCAGTCGAAGTTATGAGTTGTTTTCTTGTTCTAAGGTCCGTAATATCACACTTGACATGTTACCCCTGTGACATGTAGCTGAATAGTAGCTCTGTGACATAAGGATCATTAACTCTATTTTACAGATAAAAGTGACTTAGCCAGTAAAATCAAGCTAGGACTTAAACTTCAGTCCTCTAGTACTAAATTCTGTGCTCTTCACTTAATTGTTTTCCGACTTCTTTTAACTGTGGGCCCCACTCTTCAGATGAAATCTTACCTAAATCAGATGTTGGCTTTGGGGGGAGCCAGTTGGAGACCTTGGGCTGACTCACACCACTAGCTTCCTTACTGCCTGTAAGGCAGTGCCAGTGAACTGCAAGGCTCCAGGGATGTCACTGTGAAATCCCCCACCTCCTCCAGGGACTCTTGGCACTAGAGAGCCCAGCTCCCACGGGTGGGAAGCAGGCAGCCCACCGAGGTATAGAGGGTACTATTTGGGGCTCCCAAGTTGAGGGGTGGGTCCAGAGGCTTCCTGAAGTGGCCTCTAGAGTATCGCTGTCATTGATGACCTTCCCTTTCCCCTGCAGATCTGGAGTCACACATTGTATGCAACTACTCAAGTCTTACACCGGTGCTGGAGCAGTTCCCTAGCAGCACCACCTCTATTTGCAAGAAGAGACAACGGAAGTGCAAGGGTCACTTTATGCATCTTTAATGGTTTCGGTTTTTATTTTTGGTTTTTGTAAAAGCTGCTTTTTCTAATCTCCTGCCTCTCCCCCACTGCCCCCCTCTTATCCTCTGCCCCTCCAGCCCAACCCTCCCCTTCCATCTGACCAGGCCACGTCCTCTCTGCTCTTCCTTGCCTCCCTAAGCATCCTGTCCCCGGGAATCCCAGTGAGGTGGCAAGCAGAGAGTAGGGTTTATTGCAATGGTTCAGCCCAAGGCTCGGTTTCATTTGAAGAGCATAAACAGATGTGGCCCTCAGGTCCAGGGTAGAAACTCGAGCTGTTGAGCAGGCCACATCTCTGGGGATTGTCCTTTTTTGGTTTTTCTTAAGCAAGATTAGTTTGGGATATTACCATGTCCTGACACAAACAGAAAGTCTTCTTAGAACCATCGCAACAGACCAAGACCAAAACCACCTGATTATGTAGGAGTGTTATTAGCAGCTTAATACTCCAGGCTGAGAACCTGGGGAAGCCAGGCTTTAGAATTTGGGGGAGGGTGGGGGGAGGGGGTACTGTGGGGAAGGAGAGGGAAGAAGGGGAGAGAGGTGTTTGCTTGGTGGCTTTGATTTGAAAGGTCCTAGGCCACACTGTCGGCCTGCACCGTCTGATTTGCACAGTGATGTTAACTGACCTGGCACTTCCTCAAAAGGTGATTTTGACCTCAGACCTGCCGGCAGCTGCAGGGTAGTGGGATCCCAGTATCCTGAGGCCTTGGAAGGCCAGGCGCCCTGTGTAATCCAGACCTCGGTCTCTGAGCTCTCATGGTCCCACTCTTATGAGGCCCTTCTCCTGATAAGAGTGGCCACCTAGGGCATTTCTCTCCCTTTCCCTTCTGCCTTTCCCAGTGCCAGGGCTCACCTGTCTGTCTGTAGGGCTGGCAGGCAGGCCAAGCTCTTGGTTACCTTGTGCCATTCATGGCCAAAGTGAAGGAACCACATTCCAGGTGGGTGCTGGCGGCTCTGAAGGTCAGGATAGTGAAGGAAAAGCAATAGCAATAAACATTTCATAGACTCATGGAACTGAAGGGACCTTAGCAATTCATCTCATTCCTTCCCCTATTTGATAGATGAGGAAACTGAGGCCCAGAGAAGAGGAAAGGACTTCCCTCGACCTCGCAGTGAATTAGCATTAAATGCAGCCTTCCTACCTAGTGGCACGTTGCCTGCAAAAATTTACCTAGGGATGGATTGGCTTGGTTTTGTAAAAATTAAGTCAGCAGTGCCCACACCTGGTGAGCTCTGAAACAGTCTCTGGGCTCTTGTTTCTGCTCTTTTCCGCCTTGGACTCCAAAGGCGGGGCCGAAAACTGGGCAGAGGCCACATGGGGGCAGATGGCAGAAATTGCAAATGAAGAAATAGCATTTGGAAATTCTGTGAAGACATCTGGAACTTTCGTCTTGTACCTGACTCCACTTCTAGGAAAAGGAGCAGGTGGGCGGGCTGGCTGAAAAGGAGAGGCCATGCTTTTAGGACAGTAGCCCCTCATCCTGAGAGGAGAGGAAGAGAAAGAAGAGAGTGGGAGTCACCAGGAGAGGAGGACAAGTCCCAGGAGACCTAGGCTCATCTGGGAGAAGAGGGAGCCCTGGGACAAGGAGGCCCCGCTAGTCTCAGCCAGGAGCCTGGATGACCCAGCACCACGCTCCTGCACCCAGCGCTGGGCTGGGCCGGGCCAGCAGCCCCTTTAGGGGTGGGGCAGGAACATTTTACTGTACAAAAATGGGATCATTGACAACATTTGGGACTTTTGAATAACTATTTTCATTTTAAATCATGCAAACTTGGATATACCCTTCTCCCCTACCTCCCGTGTGTCCCTAAAGGAGGAAAAAAATCAGGAAACCCTTGGGCTGGAAGGACCTCCGAAGCTGTCTAGCTGTTCCCAGGGGGTGGAGCCCATCAGCATCCTTGGCCCAGAGCCAAGTCTGGGGGCCCACTTTCCCGGGTGTCCAGGGATCTTCAGGACCAGTAAGACAAAAATCCAGCTGTTCTAAATTCTGGGATGTTCTAAATTCTGGGATGCTGATGAGGTTTCATTTTATAACAACAGAAAGTTTTCCAGTGTTAATCCATTTTTTTTGCAAATACCTCCTCCCACCCTCTTTGGTTTTGTAAAGGTGGGTGAAGGTTGTTTTAGATTATGTCATATGTGTTTGAAAAATGCCAAAATAATAATAATGATAATAATAATAGGAAACCTTTGCATATGTCAGATGTGTCATAGATTTTTAAAGCACTTCACAGCCTTTAATTTACTCGTCCTGAGAGAGGGGCTGAGTCAGAGTTATTACACCCAGTTGACAAATGAGGAAACAGGCCTACAGTGAACAAAAGGCTAGTATCCGACCAGGCGTCTTGGAACCCTGCTGCCTCCAGGTGGGCTGGGGTGGAACTACAGAGAGGAAGTAAGAAAAGGAGGAGACCTAGGAATGACCTTGAACTCTTGTTCTTTCTACACCAGTGAGTAGAACTAGCATCTGGACCTCAGAGTTCACAGAGCAGTTTAGCACACATCATCTGGTTTAACCCTATGAAATAGAGATTATTTCCCACATTTGATCCATGAGGAAATGGAGGCTCAGAAAAGTAGAGCAGCTTGCTAGTAAGCGACAGAGCCACTTGAATCCCAGGCTGTCTGCTTTCTCTTTCCCCTCCAGGCAGACCCTTACAGGCTCACATACAGAAGCATCTGTGTACCCTATCCCAGCTCCTCCTGTGTAAGTCAAGAGCAAAGGAAGGCCCCAGGGAGAAAATAAGGCACTGAGAGGCTGTGGTCTGGAAAAGCCCAGGCCCGGCATTTCTTTCAGTATGAGCACTAGCGCCCTAGTTCAGCTAGCCTCACCCTCTTGCTTTGATGGAGATCCACAAGCCTGGCCAAGCTTGGGGAGTCAGTGCAGAGGGGCTGAGTCCAGAAGAGCAGGACCAGGCGTGTGCCTCTGGTTGGATGAGCACAGCTCCTGGGAGGGCCACAGGTGACTGGGAGAAGATACCATAGCCAGCAGTCATCCAAAGATTCCGGGTGACCCTGGCCGGGAGTCAAGCCAGGCAAAAGGTCAGAGCTGGGTAGGAAGGCAGAGAAGGCAAGGGATGTGCCCACGTGGCACAGTGAGCCGCAGCACTGGCACCAGCATGCAGACCCCTGCCTCCTTCCCAAGTGCCTGCCCCCCCCCGGGTACAACACCTTCGTGGCCAGGGTCAGGGTACAGTGGTTCAAGTCACCAGCCAACCTCCCTGGCTTCCCCACTTCAACCTTGCTCCCTCTCTTCACCAGCCCAGGTGAGGAGTTTGATCTAGAAGCTGGGATGACTCCAAGTAGTGCAGGTCTGAAACATAATCTTTTGCCACATTTTGAAAAAAAATACATATTTAATTTCTTCCTCATGAGATAGGACCGTTGCCATTCCTTCTCTTTCCTACTGGGCAATGACCCCAAAGTGAATATCCCCTTCTCTGAATATTCAACAAGGACATACCTACCTGTCCAGACCTTTTTTGGTATGCAAAATGCTTTGACATTGGTGGCCAAAATCCCCATCCCTATAGATAAAAAAACTAAGGCTCAGAAGACTTAAGAGACTCGCTAAAAGGTCACACAGTTCTTAAGTAAAAGAGCCAGGATTTGAGATCTTCAATCCTCTGCTCTTCTGCTGCCATCTGTTGCGTCCCTCAGTGGCAAGCATGAAGAAGGGAGAGGCAGGTCGCCTCTGTCCCCAAACAGAAGACTTTATGGAGACCTGGGGAGTTCAGTCCTCTTGGCTGGGCAGATTTTTATCAACTGCTGCTTTGGGCCAGGATCTGTGATAAGACTGGGAAACCCAGAGGCATATCCAGCTGGTAGAGGGAAGATAAGAATTTGCAACAAAAGACCTAACTTGAAGAAAACACTTTGGGGACTTTGGAGCCATGATGCCCAGGACTGAATGCATGGTCAAGGACAGTACCAGGCATCTTTCTATTAATAGACCTATGTCCCTGGGAAACCTTACGACTCAAGAGCCTGCCCACTGTCCAGATGCAGTGAGCTGACATTTCAAGGGGACCCATGGTAGCCCTGATTGACCAAAAGCGTATGGACTGAAGTCCCTGGGCTTGCTTTTCCCTTGGGTAAGAACCAGGACTTAGGGAGACTCTGAGCATGTAGGCTGTATACATCCCAACCCTTGTTCCTGGCCACCCAGATTGTTCCAAATTTGAGGTGTCTCACTCCCAGGAATAGAGTACTTCTCTGAAGGGCTTGCTTTGGTCCGATGGCCTTCAGAAGTGAATCATGTGGAGCAGAAAAGTAGGACAGGCCCCTTGGTCATGAAGTTCTGGCATCTTCATTGTGCAGACAGAACTCATCCAAGGTTCCAGTAAAGTATTGGCTGAGCCAGGCCTGGAACCCTGCATATCACATTCCTTGGCTCTGCTGTAGCCACAGGGGACAGGGCCCTTTCATCTTCATCTTCTATATCACCAGGGCGTTCCTCCTCAGTTCCAGTTGAGTGGAGTCTCTTTTCCATCCTTTATTCCACCACATCACTACTGGGTTTGTGGCCCCAGCTGCTTGCCAAGCCTGGGAATCTGGAGCGGGTTGAGTCATGGAGTGGGCAAGGGGGACGCAGGCTCCATGTGGGTATGTAGCCCCCAGGGTCTGGGCCCCACCCACATAGCTGAAGAAACACAGCCAGGTAAATGATCAGATTCCACACCCAAGCCTCAGTGCCAGGCTGCGGTGGGCATGCCAGGGTGGCTGCAGGGTTCATCTTTTACTCGTCCATGTCTCTCTCTCCTAGAATACTCCTTGTTTCTGAAATTAGGAGCTACACTGTTCCAGGGCCCAGCCTTCAAAATTCCTGGCAGGCTCACTTCAACATTCCACGGACAGCCTTGCCTGGCCAGATTGGGTCCCACTCCCCCAGTTTCTCCAATGGGTATTTTCTGTCTGGCATGCTATTGAGTCCAACCCAAAGCCCAACAGGAGTTGGGACTGGCTGCCACAAAGCCAGAAAGGGACATGGCAGCACTTGCTTCCCTGTAGCTGCCTTCCTAGTCCCTGGATATCCTTGCTGTGGCAGTGAGACCCTGTACCCTTTCCAGCCCCTGGCCGAGGGAGATTTTCCTTTCTGAAGAGTGTGATGTAACAGCTTTGCAGATAAGTAGCAGCCCTTAGGAATCAAATGGGTGAAATCAGCTTTGGGCCTGACCCCAGCTAGACCAGCACCTCCAGGCTCCAGCGTTCCTCCTCAGGCCTAAGAGAGTCAGGGAGAGTGGGACTGGCCCAGTGTGACCTTCTCGGGTCAGCCAGATTGTACAGATCTGTGGTGTGACTCAAAACTCCTCCTGACCCAAGGGGGAGGTAAGGCTAACCTTTAGCAACTTGGAGTTGTCTGTAATGACCTTTAAAGGCCCAGTGGCCTGTTCCCATCCTGACTTCAAGGCATCTGCATCCCTGTTTCATATCACATGGCAGAGAAACCTGTTCTCATGGCATGTAACATCCCTGTGAAGAGAGCGTTGTATATGATTTTGTATTTTTTAATTCATTTTAATCTACAGGTTGAAATCTAATTTTTAAATTTTATTGGAACTCACATTTTAAAAATAAAAGCATTTTAAAATAATAATAATAATAATAATAATAAACCTTTGACCGGTGTCTTCCAAGTAGTTTGATCAAAGAATTTATAGGTGTTTTCAAAACACATCCTGGCGTGTAAAGATTGGAAAGCCCAGGGCCTCGCTTGTGTGTATGAGTGTAAATCTGGTTTTGTTTTGTTGTTTTGGATTCTTTTGGGTTTTTGTTTTGTTTTGTTTTGAAGATCAGATAGTGATCACTCTGAAAGATTGAAGCCAAGAATTTGTAACTATGATATTTACTGTAAGCTGTAGAACACTCAATAACTATTAAAAAAAAGTTTCCAAAAAAAAAGGTCTTAGGTGACTAGACTGAGTGGTTCTTGGGGAAGGGAGGCGCAGACGGCCAAAAGAAGGCCACCCCCTGGGCCAGGGAGGCCCTTGGGCTTCTCCCCAAGCTGATGCTGAAATTGTTCTTGGCAGTCAAAAAATACCTGTGCTGCGTCTCAGACAAGGCAGGGGGCCTGTCTCGGACCCCACAGTTGACAGGAGCTGTGCAGTAGCAACTCCCGTGCCTGTGCCAAGTATGCGATATGGAGCCCAGTAAGGCCGTAAGAACTGGCACATCTGCTGAGCTATCTGCTCCATGGAGCTGCCACCTCTCGAGGCTACCGCGTGGCTGGCGCTTGTTGCTCATTTACCTTAAAACACCATGTGAGCCCCATCTTAGACGAGGCAGCTAAGGAGGCTGGGTGCCTTGGCCAAGGACACAGAGCTGGCGAGGGGCAGAGGCAGAACTCACAGTGGGTCTGGCTCCATCGCCCTGGCCACTAAGCCCGTGTGCTGCCTGTCTCAGAGGAAGCAAGGCTTGAGTTTTCTTAAAGGGTGGATTTGTCAGATGGGAAAGCAAGGGGGACTTCGTGGCTGATGGTTACAGGACAGTTGAAGGATGCTACATGCCTCCGAGTCATCAAGTGCTGTCAGTTTTACCTCCTAAACACCGGAATCTCATCTCCGCTCCCCTCCAGGCGAAGCCTGCTCTGGTCCAGGCCCAGGCCACTCCCCTAGCCTTCCGTTCGCCGTGCCTTCCCTGGCCGGCCCCTGTAGTGCTCCTCTGTACCCACAGCCACACCTTTGAGAATTTAGTCACAAGAGTCCAAGTAACTTGGCTCATCCTGCAGCCAGAATGAAAACTTGGCCCTCTTTACTCTGCAGTGCTTCTCACTCTGTGCCTCCATGCAGCCTCCCCTCCTGTCCTTGACCCACATTAAACCCCCACAGTGGGCGGGAGAGACCACCTCTGGCACAGGCATTGCTGGGGCTGTGCGTGGCAGCCAGCTTCTCAAGTGCAGGAGGGGATTTTTTTCTCCCAGAGGCTCAGCTCCAGGTCACAGTGACAGGTCTAAGGGCCAGGAGCTGGGCGGGGCGGGGCGGGGGTGGAGGCGTGGGCCCTGGACCCGGCCATTCTGGCCCACGAGAGAGGGGGTTGAACAAAAGGTCAAGCTCAGAACCCCCCTCAGCGGGCAGCCCAGAGCCCCACCCTGGCCTCCATCTCCACCGGTAGCCAGGGTCTGTCTTGAGCTCAAGAGCTGACAGGGCTGTGGGAATTTAGACGCGAAGCCAGAAAAGCTTCCGGGTGAGGGTGTGAGCCCTGAAGGCCAAGGGCATACACATATCCTACGAGCTCTCAGCTCTGCAGCCCACTCTTGGGAGCTAGCTTCAACATCCCAAGTGACAAGTGGAGAAACTGAGGCTGGGCCATACCGTCCAGCAAGCAAGAAGTTGAGGTCGGGGGGTGTCGGGAGGGGAGCCCAGGGCTGTGCTGGGGGCTTCCTTCCTGGCCTGGGAAGCCGACCCAGCCTCAGTCTCAGCCTCCAGCTGGCTCGCATCTGGATGTGCCTCCCCAGGCGGGGCGGGCAGATCCGGGAGAGGACATCCAGACTGCTCTGGGGAAGGAGGTGGAGACCAGAGCGGGAAGGGGGGGAGGGTCCACCCACTCCCCGTGCCCAGGGTGAGCAGCGTGCCAGCCAGGTCCCAGGTGGAGTGGGGTTGGGTGGCTGGCTGAGGGTCAGCCAAACCTGAGGTGCAGCTGGACAGCAAGAGGGACTCCAGGCACACCCTGGCAGCCCAGGGAACTGTCCTTGGTGACTTCTGCTAGCCCGCTACGGCAACGCCCTGTCCCAGACGTGGGCGACCCTTGCGGCTCCTGCCCCCCACCTGCTTCCTTCCTCTCTCCACATGCAGGTGGACCCTTAGTGTCCTGGGTCCTCACAGGTGCCCATCCCTTTCCCGCCCACCTGAGAAGCCCCAGAGGAAAACCTGGGCTCTCGGTCCTCGGGGAGCAGCGAGAGGCCGAACCCTAGAGCACATCCGCCCAGGGCGAGAGTCTTCTCTGCAGGGGATGGGCCAGGGCCCTCCTCAGGTCCTGCCAGGAGAAGTGTCCCGCTCTCAGTGGAGCCGCCCACGCCTACGTGGCCCTCTCCACACCTCCCCGGGTTCCCTCAAGTGTCCTCTGCTAGTTCTTCAGCCTCTCTGTGAGGCCACTAGCACTAAGTGGGTGCCCCCTCCATCTTTAAACACTGTACCAAACATCAGCAAGACCCGCAGATTAACTGCAAACCTCTCCTCAGAGCCTGAGGCCCCGCCAGCCATGGCCTGGCACAGCCAGGCTTCTGTGGGGAGCTGGCTCCTCCATCTACTGAAGCGGACCCGGCCCTGCTCCCACTCTCCCTTGGGGGACTCCCCCCAAGCCCCCCGCCCACTCACCAGGGCATGCAGTGGTCCCATCTCCACAGCAGCATCTGGCCTTGCCGCCCACCCTGTGCCCACCCCTTCCCAGGCTGCCAGGGTGCTGTCCCTGCCTGGAGTTCCTCCTCCCTTGGCAGCGCTTGCTCGGCCATGCCCGGAGCAGCCCGGGATCTGCCCAAGCCCTGGCCCCAGGACGTGTTCCCTCCTGGCCAGTCCTGTGTCCGTGCCCACCTGAGTGCTTGGAGGGGTGGTCGTCCGTGGCTGTCTCCCGAGAGCTCCGGGCCTTCGCATCCAGATGCTTCAGGACATCCCCCCGGCCCGTCACAGGTGCCCCCGGGACGGCACTGCCTAGTTGCCCCACTCAGCTGGCCCCAATTCCTTGGCCCATCACCAGGCCCTAGCACGTCAGCCGGCCCTAGGAGTCTTTCCAGGACGACTGCAACAGCTTCCTCATGATACCCCTGCTCCCGTGGTCTCTGCACTGTCCACCCTGGCCAAGAGGGAGCTCTGCCCCTTCCCGAACGCTTGAGGCGCCCCGTGTCCTTGGCACAAGGCCTGTGCGCCCACACTTTCCAGCGCCCCGTCAGTGTTGGTGCCTGGCCTCGGTGTGTGCTGCTCCCTCTGTGGGCCTTGTCCCCTCCTCCCACTTCCAGTCCCACTCATCTTCTCAGCACCCTTCACCACCCTGCTCTGCACAGCTGCGCCTCCTCTAGTGCTGCACTGCCCTGTGTGGTCACCGCTGGCCACGTGGCGTGGAGCCCTGGAAATATGCTCGTTCCTGTCGAGATGCCTAAAACACCAGATTTCAAAGCAAAAGCAAAAACTAGCTCATTCATACTTTTCATACCGATTTCATAGTGAAATGAAAATATTTTGGATCTATTGGGTTAACATATATTAGAATTAAGTTTCTTTTTAATTTTTTGCAATGTGGTTATTAGAATATTTTTAGCCACATAAGTGGCTCATGCTCTATTTCTGCCGAGCAACACCGCGGCCAGGGGCTCGTGAGAAGCAGATGAGGCGGGGACCTCTCGCAGGCCCTGCTTCCCTGCCGCCCAGGCTGGTGCCTCAAGGGCCACGGTCCGGCACGTGGTGCCCAGCACAGAGCAGGGCTCCCAGAGGTGGGCTGGGAACAGACGGCCTGGGGAAGGGCCAGAGAAAGACGCTCCCGTGACAGCATTTTCCCACCTTTTATTAGTCAACAAACAGATGGGGATGGAGACACAGACAGGACAACAGCGAGTTTCAATAAATAAGAGGGATGGGGGTGGGCAGCGGGCCCGCGCCCGCACGGCCCCACATAAATAACCAGGCTGCTCAGCCACAGTGGAGATGCAGGCTGAGCCTGGCAGTCGCCCTCGCAGCCAGATGGCACCACAGGGACACAGACACCACCGAGCCCGAGGTGCTCGCCAGCCTCGCCAGCGCCCCACTGCCCGGAGCTCCCGAGGTCTTGGGCGGCTGCACAGGCTGGGGCTCTACCCCACAGCCCTGCTGGCTCAAGTCTGTCTCGTCAGTGTCATTAAAAACAGCAAGGTGGGGGCAGGCACATGCATTAAGCGCCTTCTGTAGGCAGAGCCACGGATGGACAGCCCTGTGGGGGGCCTTGAAGGCAGAGGCCCTGGAAGCAGCAGAACGGGCCGGGTAAAGCTACTAATGGGAGGGGTGGCAGAGTCCAGCTCCCCGCCCTCACGACCCAGCCCAGAGCCTACAAGGAGCTGGAGCAGCCCGGGTACTGAGGCGTCATCACTCCCCACTTCACAGTCAGCAACACTTGGCCCAGCAGGGGTGGGGGATTCACACTCCCAGCCCAGGACTTGTTGCCCCTTCCCTTTCCGGGACCTGCTGGGAGAGGGGGGAGGGGCAGACCTGCCGGAGGGTCCCGTACAGGGGCGGGGCCAGCTAGTGACCAAGGCATGGGGCCAGGGGTGCCGGGTGCAGGCCCCGCCCCTCCGCCAAGCCTGGCCCCCTGGTGGCACAGAGGCTCCTGTGGGCTCCGGCTAGGGCAGGCACAGGGGTCAGGGGTGCCTGCAGGGGAGGAACCTGGCAGCAGGGGCGGGGCAGGGCTCTCCATCTGCTCTTGCACACAGTGCCTGCCGGCCTGTCGCCTCCTCGCTGGGCGGACGGTTCCACCTCCAGGCCTTGGCCTTGGCTGTCCTGTCTGCTGGACCATGGCTTCTTGGTCCTCACAGTCCCAGATGCAGCTCCACCTCCTCCAGGAAGCCTTCGGAACCTCCCAAGGCAGGGCTGCAGTGTCTTCAGACTAGCCAGCTCTCAGATGACCAAGTTGCTCTCGCTAAGCCGGACCACATAGCGGTTCTCCTGAGGGGAAGGGGCCGGAGCGAGTCAGGGCCTGGCTTCTAGGCTCTGGGAAAGTGGGCCCTGCCCAGGGCCCCTTGTGCTTCCACCGCTGCTCTGTCTTGGGTCAGGGCTGGCCCACACACCCACGGACACCCGCCCCGGCTCTCACCTCGGCCTTGTGCTCTGCTGGGGGCTTCAGCCACTTGGTGTGGCTTCCACCACTTCCTAGCAGTGCCCGCTGCTCAGGGGGGAGGCCGGGCTGGGGGCAGTCGGGGAGATCAGCCCCTGAGGGTCCCACCTCCG